CTGACTATTTCCTAGTCAGAGTGACAATAAAATTTTAGAAAAACAAATTAATGCAGGGCACTCTAAAATGAAATTAAGTTAATATATATATATGTGTGTGTGTGTGTGTTACCAGTTACATAAATCTTAATTTGAACAAGCAAGTTAATTATTATTACAATTATTAAATGGTAAAACTACTTCATTATTGTAAATGTAAAGATAATGCGTTACTTCACTCTGATGTCTGAAAATATAAAAATATAAAAAACTATTAAGAAGCTTACCATTAAATATTCATTTGAACAAAATTTTTATGATTTAGCTATTGAATTTTAAAAAAGATTTAAAGTCTGAAGAGTACATAAAAACCATTGAAATGTTTGAGGTCCAAAGAAAAGACTATGAGAAGCTATAGAAAACTTTTTTTTTTTCAAAACAAAATTCATTTTGCTTTTTTTCAACTATTTTCTTCTTTAATAACTTTTGAATTTTGATTTAATTGAAATTTAGAGATGTAATATATATCTATTATCAGACTTACCTATAACTGAAAGAGAACTAAATATATTTCTAGGCTAACTTACCACATTTTCCAAAGAATAAGTACTTAAAGCTTCAGAAAATCGAGTGTTTTCCTGTTGAATAGTTTCAATAAGAATATTCTGATTTTTTCTGAAAAACAGATATAGAAATATAAAAGAAATCCATCAAAGCTTTTATAAAATTGTTGTATTTCTCTTTTAGTTTTTGGACTATTAGTGCAAGTTTGAATGTTGACAGCAAATGGACTTTCATGTATGTAAGGAAGAAGTCTCAGTCATAAACTTTTTAAATATTTTATAACCTTTTTTCATCTAAAAATAATACCAGAGAACGTTTAAAACTTCTGTCATAGTTGCCTAAGATTTTTGTGTATAAAAATAAATTATCAAATGATTAAATTTAAATTCTTAAACATCAAATCGTTTTTACTCTAGAGATCTGGTTCAATAAGAGAAAGGTGTTTCTCATCTGTAATCATGGATCACAAGTCAACTTTCCATCACAAACTAAAATTATTACATGTTCTCATGAAATTCATTAATTACTTCACTGCCTTGGGCATATATATGTCCCCCTCTAGATCATTGCCCTGGGCACATATACATGGGACACACTATATAACCTTTGTTTTAACAAGAGAAATATGCATGTAATAAAAATCTATAATTTTATAACTAATTAAAAAAAACTATAAATGATGTGTATAAATTTAAAAATTCTAAAATCAATGCATGATCAGTAGTTTTGCATAATACTTCTTACAATGTGGGAACAATCTTTTCTTCAGTTGTATTCTACTTTAATTGAAAAGTGTAGTTGTATTCTTACCAAAGAGTTCATATTTTGTTACACTCAGTAACAGTATTCAACTACAAAAGGATTTTCTGCTCTTCATTCACTTGATCTACAACTGTGTTAAAGGAAAAGTTTTCTCCTCTTAAACCACAGAATTCAAATGAAAATATGTCTTTCTATCTTTTAACTACAGCATTCAATTTTTTTTTGAGAAAAATATAATCAACTAGCATTTGCTTCGTAATCTTTATTATTTCTCTAAAGCATTTTATCATGTGCTCTTTTCAGATAAATAATTAACTGCAATGATGGCTTTTCCTTTTTCATCCCTAGGGTTAACATAAATAAACACACCTGTTTAAATATACAACTCATCCAAAATTGTGGTCTTTCTCTTAAGCAACTACAGAAGCAGTGTTCTTCTATTAAGCCATATCTGCTGATTTATAATTTACTTAACTAATAAGTATTTTGCTTTCCCACAGAAAATACTTCATAAAAGACAAAATCTCTTTTCATCAACCATAGAATTCACCTAAAATTCCTTTTTTCAAGACTTTTTTCTAAGTTCAGCAGTTCATAATCAAAAACAAGATTCCTAACAAATTGATAAAAACAGCACACAAATTAATAAAAAAACAAACAGGATCTTATATATATATATTGTGAACTGTGGTGTATGTCCGAGCACCTGTCTGTCTTCCGTTTGCAGTGGCCGCTTCCCATCCTGAGTTATTCATTTAAGTCAATGTTGAGACAATGAGAAATTTTTTTGCAATAGTAAAGAGATCAAGGAGTGGAAATTTATAACACAGTTAGTTGACAAAGGCAGGATGTTGACTTAAATGGATAGCACAGTAAATCTTTTTAACAATTTTTAGATAGATAAAACAGAGAACATGAATATTTGATAAAAGAAAATAAGAAGCAATGAACTTAGTTTTCTAAGAACAAACAGAATCATCTGAGTCAATTTTGTTTCTTAAAAGCCTGAAAACCTTTTTTTACAATTTTAAGAAAACTGACAGTGTTTCAAGTATTATTTTCTATTTTCAGTCAGTCATACATGTATAAAAAATTCACAAAATGCTACATAAAAATAAGACAATGTTGAAATAAAAAGTATTTCTTGCTTGGTTTTTTGGCTAAATCATTAGATCTATTTGCCACTGCCTTAACATCCATTCAACATAAAGAAATTATGTTTACAGTAGGAATACGTTTTTTATTATGCCTGACTATTTCCTAGTCAGAGTGACAATAAAATTTTAGAAAAACAAAATTAATGCAGGGCACTCTGCAATTTAGCTACAAACATATAGTTTAAAAACAACAAAAAGAGGGAGGTCTTTGTTAACTCTATCATGCACAGGTGGTTGCGTTCAACCTTGAGGGCAAAAGTACACCACTGAATTAAAAAATATTTGAATAAACTTGTAGTAATTCTTACATATAATAAAAAAAATATATTGATTAAATTTTATACATACAATTTTGTTTCTTGAAAAACCTTTCACAATGAAATCTTTTCAAATTCACACAAATTTCATATATAAAAATAAGTTATTTTATTTACAGAAGCTACATACTGTGAAAAGTAATTCTGAAATTTCAAAAGATTTCATTAAGTAGTTTTTCATAATGTATTAACCCACCCTTAAGCTGTATATCAGAAAGTTGATATGATTCCATAACAAATAGTTCATGCATAGGACAATGTTAATGTCTTAAAGATTATAGAAAAATTAAACTGCACACTTTTACAATAAATACTTTATAACTGAAAAAAAAAAAGTTGTATGATACTAAACTACATAGTATAGTTATGAATTATATTTCTTTTATTATCTACAAGGAAAACTAGTATCAGTTATATCTTCTTGGTCAGATCAGGTTTGTAAAACTGAATTTTTCTTCTATGTTTCAATAAACACTTTCTGTTTTGTGATTCACATTTAACACGAAACTTTGGTTCAGCAAGAAATCACTTCATAAAATATCTGAATAATTAATGTGTGCCTGATGAACAGATTCTCTGCCAATTTTGTTTACATGGGTTCTCATATTGACAGCCACAAAATAACTAAATACAGTGGTTGTAATCAGAGCAATGTTATTCACAATATTGTGCAAGTGAGAAAAATTTAATCTCTAACTACTTGTACTTAGGTGCTTAGTTATTAGTATTAGCTATACAGTCTTCTTCAAAACATGAGCACAAACTTTGTAGTGGGAAATAGTTCCTGAATTCAAGGTAAGACAAACATCTTACTCGATTTTGATAAATTACACCTAGAAACTAAGATTTTAACTGAATCACTGCAAGAAAAACAAATGATATAATTGTTTTTTTTGCTAGAGTTTCTTTTCTACTTCAGATAATGCATGTGTTAAAATTTCAAAATGATAGCTGTACAGACATACAAAATACAGAACTTTCTTTATAGATAGCTCACATTTAAATATATATACACACACAATTTAACCCTGTGAATGAGTTAAAACTCAAAACGTTACTCAATTTACTTCACAGAATACCTTCTTCCACATAAGAACACCATTACTTAAAAGTGTGTACATAAATGAAAAAAAGAAAGAAAAATAAGCACATTTTTTACAATCACATACACCAACATAAATTTTCTGTAAACAGACTTTGAATACTTACGACAACTCTGTGAGATTGCTTGCCACTTTTTGCAGATCCAATAAATACAATGACAGAAGACCTTGACTAAGTCTTTGTCCAACTTCCTTCTTCACTGCTGATTTTGGAAGACCTTAACAAAAGAAGATACAGTGTTGGTTTAATTTTAAAAAATGGAAACATCCACCATGTTTTATATCAAATTAATCTACAGTAACCTTTTCTATTTATCATTTTATAAATATAATGTAATAAATGTGCTATGCTTTCTGTTCTATTATAAGTGACGTTAGTCAGAAAAATAAACCAGTACAAAAATATAGAAATCCATACAAAAATAATTTGCAGTATAAATCTTTCATATACGAAACTACTTATGAATGACTTTAATTAAGTAACCTGATACGGAAACCTACAAGCAGGTGAATTTCTTTTTAATATGTACAATTACTGTTAAAATTTATTTTTGTCCTTTTGCCATAGCTGAGACAAAACCTATTGAGACTTGGGAATTTTGAGTAAACTTGTGTTAATGTTTCTTTTCTTGAGAACTATATTCTCTGCAAGGAAATAAATGATAAATTTCTAATTTCTAAATGTATGATCATCTGTAAAACTGGTTCTAGATATTCAAGACATTAGGCTGAAAGTTTTCTCATTCAGTTTCAAGATATTCATTTTATATCCCTATAGCAATAATAGGTAGGCAAACAACAATTTATAAGCATAAGGAAAAGTTTTATTGGTGGTGGAACATACTACACGTTTTGACAGAATATTGGTCTTCTTCAAAACATAGTATATTCCACCATCAACAAAACTTGTCCTTATGCTTATAAATCGTTGTTTGCCTACCTATTATTATATTAGCATAATATGCTTCATTATTCGAGTATACCAATGTTTAAATTTTCAATAAATATGGATTCTCAGGAAGCAATCTGTTTGAGGCAGTTTTTTCTTTTATAAGATGATCCTAGATTTTTCATATGATATTAAAAATAATTATGATTACTTGATTGTAATGCTACAAATTAATTCAATCCATAGCTGATGCAAAGCTGAGGTGATAGCTCTATTATCAAGTATTTGATACAAATATGTGGGTAAAGTGGAAACTTCTTAAATGTACTGTGAGGTTTTATAAACTGGTCAATACAGAAGGAATAACTAGATTTTAGGCAAGGTTCCAGCATTTGACCAGAAATGTCCACACTGACATCTGTTCTAACTGAGAAATGCTTAATGACACTGATTGCAGTAATTATCAGAATTATAATGAATATGGCAATTATATCAAAGATGGTTATTATATTATTGTCTATTACCATTACTGTACAAAAAATATGAACAAACTATTTTTAAGTTTCTTAAGAAACATTTAGCATTGTGGCAGAAGTTGCAAAGTTTTGGAAAATTATCAGCACTGCAATATATGGAATAATTGGCATAAAGTAGTATGGTAAAGGTATGAAAGGCAAGATTTTTGTGTAAGAATATCCTACTACCCACCACACTAACCATTCTGTTAACAGTTGCATACGTACAATCCTTCTCAATCAACAAATCAAAAAAGCAATGATGCTATTTACTACTTGTTTATTGCTCAGTGCATTATCAGGACCATTCCTAATACAAAATTGCCAAATCTGTATTAAATTCTTAATTTGGATAAACAAGTGATAAAAAAAAAGAAAATCAGGTTTTTATCTTCACTTTCAATATTTATTGAGAAACTTTTCCAAGTTGACTTATCTCCATGAGTGAGAAGAAACTACATGTTAAAACATTTGCACATCCAAATCTCAATACATATTTAAAATCTATTTATATTAATCTATTTCTAATGAGGAAGGTTTTATATATTTACCTTTTTTTATCTCATACTCAGCTGACAGAGCTTTGGATTCAAAACTACTATGAGTCGAGAGTCTTGACTTAAGTCCTGACCAGGGCAGGTTTCTAAGTATGGTTGCTTAGAAACTGTGACAGCTTATAGAATTATATGAACTGAAAATTTTTATAAGACATTTATATACTTGAGTATAGACTATGTAGACATGTAGATAATTCATGTGCTTTCTTCTTCAATAACAGAATTAAAACAAAGTAATTTATAAGTTGGTAATTAATAATTTAACAAAAGGAAGTACATTTATCACCTTTTTCTTCTTTTAATTTTTCTTCAACTTCAGGACTGGCATAATTCTCTTTCTCCATGCCATTATCTTCAACACAATTGTCTTCTTTGACTAAGAGTTCTTTTGTTGTTTCTCTGTTGTTTTCAATAACTGCCGAGTTGCTTTCAGGAGTCACAGTTTCCATTCTACAGTGAAACATATTATAAAGTTTAACATATTGCAATGGGTAAAAAACAAAAAAAAACATTTACTGCATCAGTCTTTCACAAAAATATAACTGCATATATTCAATTCATTAAAATATTCACTGTAAATCTATTTTCAAGGTAGCACAAAGCTTCAATTAACCAACATGATGCACATACATACATACTTGATTCCTGGTCGAAAGTACCAATATGTTTCAAAACCTCAGCCAGAAAGATGGCCACTGAAAGGCTGTGGTCTAATCTCTCCAATTATCTCATCCACAACAGGTTTTATCATCATAAAGACTTGAACTCTAGGTGGTCAATTTCAAGACAACAATAATGTTACTTTCAAATCTTGGGTCAGATGAACCTTGTGGTGGATATCATAACAAGATATTGACCTGCTGTTGAAAAACACTACCATGGCCCATGAAATAAGATGATTTAAGATTGTTTTATACATGGCCATTTAGATGTGCATACGCTTCACGGAATTTAGCCTCAACCACAATACCTCACCATAATTTTTCACTCTTGTTACATCACTTTCATGGTAGAACCATGTACCTGCCTAGCCACAGACTTCTATTCAAGCATCACTTTAAAGCTGAATGAAATTTCACAAAATTTTCAACTACCATTGAGGTTCAGTGCTGATGAAGGATACAGTGGATAATAATGACTTTCCAAATGTTAAAAACAGTACTGACAGGTCTAGTAGTAGTGGATTTAATTATAATGAGCAGATCCTATTAAGTAACAGGTTTCAGTCTTTAGTTTGTGCAGATGAACTACAGGATGGAAGGATAACAAAAGGGACAGATAGGAATGGAAATGAAAAACATATGGAGGTTATTTTTTTATAGGTGATTCTTTAGTATGGCTGGTGGACAAGATAATCAGTGGGGTAAATAGGGAGAAAATATTCAAATTATGCTATCCAGAGGCAGAGGTGAAGGATGTAACTGACAGAACAAGCTATACAGTAAAGGATACTAGCAATGATTCAGTTTTTGTAGTGTACATAGAGACTAATGATGTAGGAAAGGGTGGGTCAGAGAAGCTAATTGTTAAGTACAAGGAACTGATAAAGGCATTTAAAGAACAGGAACATAGTAACTTAATTATTGCCAAAAGTTAAACACGGGGATGAAATTATAAGACAGTTACAAGGTTTAGGTTAATGTTTAAGGACAAGCAAGTTGGCTAGTTGGACTTATGGGATCAGTTAAGTTGTAAAAGATAACTTTTTTGGAATGGATGGTTTACATTTAAATAGGGTAGAGGCTAGCTTGTTTGCAAAGGATATTAACTCAACTGTAAGGGAAACTTTAAACTAAGACAAATAAAGTGGTGAGGCCCATGAGAAAATAAAAGAGAAAACAAGAAAAGCTTACTGTAGGAACAAAGTACAAAGATAATTTTAATGGCAGACTAAACTGTTATTATTGGAATGCTGGAAGTATAAGAAATAAAATGGATAATGTTAGAATGCTGGTTGGAACAGAGGACTGATATAATGGGAATGAATATCTGAAACTTGGTTAAACATAGACAAGTTTGATGACAGGAATTTCTTTGAAATACAAGGTTATAGGTTGTTTAATAGGGACAGAATACTAAAAAAGAGGGTAGGAGTAGCTTTATATGTAAAATGTGAGTTATATTCTGTTCAAGTTGTTGATACCAAAGTTAATAGCAATGAGGTTGAATCTGTTAATGGTTATAACAGAGGGCTTTTAGTTGGAATTTATTACAGATCACCATATGGAACATAAAAGTTAGTGAGAAACTTTACAGTGAGATAAAGAATTCAGCTATTAATGAGGTTTTAATTATAACATAATACTTAGGGACAACGAGGGACCTATTGGTTCATCTATGCTGTCCTATCCACAAAACTAAACTAAAACTACTAAAAGAAAATAAAACAAAAAAAACTCTCAAAGCCAGCCCTTATCATTCATATATTTATCAAGTCTTCCCGTAAACTCACTTAAATTTACTGCCTCCACCACATCCGAAGGTAACCCATTTCAAAGACAAACTACCCTGTTAGAAAGAAAAAACTTTCTTAGCTGAAAAAGACTCCTACCCTACCAAAAGTTATACTTGTACCCTCTAGTCCTACCATTTTCACCATTAAGTATGAAAAAATATGATGCATCAACACTATCAATTCCCTTAATAATCCTAAACACCTCAATCAGTTCCCCTCTAATTCTTTTTTCAAGAGAAAATAATTTCAGAGATCTTAACCTCTCCTCATATGTCAACCTTTCCATCCCAGGAATTATCCTAGTAGGCCTCCTCTGAACCATTTTCAACAATTCAATGTATTTTCTAAGTAAGGAGCCCAAGACTGCACACAGTATTCCAAAGGTGACCTAACCAGTGACCTATACAATGAAATTATAACCTCTTTAGACTTGTATTCAATATTTCTGTAGATACAACCAAAAATCCTTTTGCCCTTCCACTAGCAACAGCATACTGCTTGGATGGTTTTAGAGACTGATTAACTACTATACAAAGATCACTTGTACCCGACTTGTGACATTAATCCAGTTTGACTGAATTACATTTGTAACAACCCTCTGCTTTCTTCCATCCAGTCACTTTTCTATCCAATTAACCAACTTATCCCTCATATCTGTAGAGATAATTTTTCACAAGCCTTTTATATAGCACCTTGTCAAATGCTTTCTGAAAATCCAGATACATCAAATCTACACCTTTACCCTCATCAACATAAGCAGTAACTTTTTCGAAGAATATTAAAAGATTTGTAAGGCAAGATTTTCCCTTAGTGAAACCATGTTGACTATCCAACAAAATTCTAAACTTTGTTAAATGATTTTGTAAAGCATATTTTTAAAAGACTTTCCAAAATATTTCCCAAAACTGATGTAAGACTAATGGGTCTATAATTACTGGGACAATTTTTATCATCTCCCTTGAAAAGAGGAATTACATTAGCTAACTTCCAATCCTCTGGTACCTGCCCACTATTCAAGTACTTGCAAAAAATAGTAGCAAGTGGCTCACGTATCCAATCCTTAACTTCCTTCAAAACCCTTGGGGAAACATTATCTGGCCCAAGGGTTTTATCAACCTTTAAACTTCCCAATTTTGTCTTAACAAGCTCAGAATTAATGTAGTCATCTTGTTCGATCTTTTTTCCATCTATCAACTGTTCATGATGAGAAATATTGCTTAAATCTTCATTAGTAAAAAACTGAAGAAAAGTACAACTTAATAACCCAGCCATCTCATAATCATCAGTTAAGAGCCTTCCTTTATCATCCCTCAAAGGCCCTACTCCCATCCTAACATTTTGTTTACTCTTAATATACTTAAACAAATCCTTACTTTTAATTTTTACATTTTCCACCAACCTTTTTTTCATACATCCTTTTTGATGTCCTAATTTCCTGTTTCACCAACTCTCTTGATCTTCTATAATCATCTAACTCTTTTATCATAACAGTCAATTTAAAATTCTTCAATTTGTGCTGCTTTTCTTTAATTTTATCTCTTGTATCCTTTATGCCAACCTGATTTTTTTACTTACAGCCACAATTTTCTTTCTACAAGGAACATGTTAATCTTGAACATTTAAAAATTTTCCACATCTGATCAGTGTCTCCAAATAATTCAGCTGCCCAATTCACAGACAATTCTTGTTTCACCCTTCAAAACTTACTTTTTTGAAATTTAAAACCAAAATATCATTATTCCTGATATCCATATGCAGCAAAACATCGAACCTAATAGAGCAATGATCACTTGCACTCAGATGTTCCCCAGTTTCCACCAATTCTATATTAGAAGTTAACAATAAATCTAAAATAGCATTGCTTCCAGTAGATTCCTTGACCAATTGGTGATGAAAACCATCTTGAACAGTTTCTAAAATCTTTTCTCCCTCATGGTTTAACACTCACATTTCCCAACCTACATGGCTAAAAATAAAATTAAAATCACCCATAATTATGACCTCATTAACAGCTGAAATTTTAATCTCACTGTAAAGTTTCTCATTAATTCCATCAGAATCATCAGGTGGTCTGAAACAAATTCCCACTAAAGCCTTTTCCCTTTATATCCACTAACAGAAACCTTGTTATTACCTTTGATATCCTCAACTTTAACAAGATGTAACTGACATTTTACAAATAAAGCCACTCCTTTCCCTATCTTTAGTACTCTATCTCTATTAAATAACCTATAATCCTGTACTTCAAATTTTTGTCATCAAAATCCTTTATGTTTAGCCATGTTTCAATTATTCCCATTATATTAAAATCCTTCATTCCTACAAGTGCTCTAAACTCATGTATTTTATTTCTTATACTTCTAGCATTACAATAATAACAATTAAGCCTATCTTTAGAACTACTTCTATGCTTCGTTCCTATACGAAACTTTTCTCTACACCTTATTTTTTCAGCATTCAGTTTATCCCGGCCCTCACCACTGTCTAGTCCTGGTTATGGTAGATTTTAACTTCAGACATATAGATTGGGAAAATGTTAGAAGCAAATCATGAGGGAGACAGATTTTTAGGAACTGTTCAGGATAGCTTTCTTCCCAATTGGTCAGGAAACTTACCAGGAACAAAGCTGTTTTAGGCTTGTTGTTAACCTCTTATAGAGAAATAATTGACAGAGTAGAGATTGAGGAATATTTGGGTTCAAGTGATCATTGCTCAATTAGATGTGATGTTTTGCTGCATATGGAGAAAAGAAATAAGATTTTGGTTCCAAATTTCAAAACATAAAATTCTGAGAGATAAGACATGAATTATCTACTGTAAGTTGGGCAACTGACTTGATTGGAAATAGTGATCAAATGTGGAAAGATTTTTTAAATAAAAGTGTCTGCATGTAAAAAAACCAAGTGGGCCCAAAAAGGGTATAAAGGATAAAATTAAATGAAAGCATTATGAATACAAGAAGTTTAGATTGGCTACAATGATGGCAGATTTGGATAAAAATCAAGAGAGCAGGTGAAACAAGAAATTAGGAAATCAAAATTTCTATATGAAAAAGATTAGCTCGGAAGTAAGGATTTCTTTAAATACATTAAGGGTAAGCAAAAAATGTTATAATGTGGGTAGGGCCTTTGAGGGATGATACAGGAAGGCTAATATCTGATGATTATGAATTATTAAATTCTAGTTTTTCTTCATTTTTACAAATAAAGATTTAAGTAATTTTCCTCATCCTCAACAGTTGTTAGATCACATTAATTCTGAGCTTAAGAAAAAATTAGGAAGTTTAAAGAAAGACAAATGTCCTCAGCACAGTAATATTTACCAAAGAGTTTTGAAGGAGGTTAAAGGAATTGGATACTGAACCACTTGCTACTACATTTTCCAATTCCTAGTAGATTGGATGTTGGTTAATGTTACTTCTCTCTTTCAGGGAAGGCAATAAAACTTGTCCTAATAATTATAGGTCTATTAGTTTTACTTCAGTGGTGGGTAAAGTTTTTGAAAGTCTAACAAAAGATGCTTTGGAATATTATTTAACAAAGCTTAAACTTTTGTTGGAGGTAGTCAGCATGATTTCACCATGGGAAAAACCTTATACTACTTATCTTTTGACATTTTTGGAAGAGGTTACTGGTTATGTAGATGAGCGTATTGGTATGGATTTAATGTGTCTGGATTTTCAGAAAACATCTGATGAGGTGTCACATAAAAGGTTAACTTGAGATTACTGTCAAAAACAGGGTACCTCAGAGCTTAGTGTTAGGGTCTTTGCTCTTTTTGATTTATATGAAAAACATAGATGAAGTAATAATCAATAAATTATTTAAATTTACTGATGATATTATTAAAATTTTGGGTGTTGCTGGTGCCTTACAAAGGGATTTGAATTATTTTGTGAGTTGGATGAATACTTGGTAGATGGCTTTTAATTACAATAAATGCAAGGTAATGCATGCGAGATATGAAACTTTGAATTATGTGAATAATTTTGATGGGAATAACCTTAATAGTGTTATGGAAGTAAAAAGATCTTGTTTTTCTGGTTGATCAGTCTCTTAAAACCATCCAAGCAATGTGGTGTTGCTAGGGGCAGGGCAAATATGATTTTAGGTTGTATCTACAGAAATATTGAATACAAGTCTACAGCAGCTGTGATATCACTGTAGTAGGTTAGAACACATTTGGAGTACTGAGTTTAATCTTAAGCTCTTAACCTTAAAAAGGACATTGAATTGTTGGTTACTAGGATGATACCTGGAAATGAAAGGTTGTCATACAAGGGCAGGTTAAGATCTCTGAAATTGTTTTCTCTTGATTGGGGTGTTTACGATTGTAAAGGGAATTGACAATGTTGATGAATCATCTTTTTTCATATTTAATAGTGAGAATGGTAAGATTAGGGATCACAAGTATAAATTTTGGCAGAATAGGAGTCATCGTCAGCTAAAACAGCTTTATTTTTATAACAGAGTGGTTGGCCTTTGGAATGGGTTGCCTTTAGATGCAATTAATTTAAGGGAAGGCTTAATAAATATTTGAATGGTAAGGGCTGACTTAATGTGTTATATTTTTTAAGTTTAGTTTAGTGGATGGAATGGACTAGATGGACCAAGAGGTCCCTTGTTTTCCTTAATTATATAAATATGTGTAACATATATATATATATATATGTATATAACTCTGCATGTGTAACTTTGCATGTGTAACTTTTCTTGTATGTTGTTTTGTAATACATGACTAACCTAATGATAAGCTATTCATTTCTTATATAGACAACACAAATACCCACTAAAAGGGGACATGGTAAAACCTGGACCAACACAAAAGTGCCCGAATAGGCCATATATTTAACTCCGACCACCTTAAAAATTATGCCAAATGCTTTCTCATGCTTCTGTGTATTCCTTTCCACATACACAACATAAAATTATTGTGAAATCATGTTTCATATTTTCATAATTTATAAAAATGTTGCCAGACCAACACAAAAATGGCTGGAAGGGCCATCTATTGAACTCCAATCTTCTTAAAAACCGAACAAAATGCTTTCTCTTACTTCTGTCCAGATACACAGTATAAAATATTGTGAACTCACAGCAACATTTTTCTTAGTAAAAAAATAAAAAAGCCATAGATGAATAACCCTTTCTGATATGTGTACATTAGAAGAACTAATAACAATGTGAAACTGGTTAAGAGACAATCAGACACGTTTTAGCACCCTGTCGGAATACTTTTGTGTCAGTCCAGAAATGTTATTTATTTTAAAAAATTGAAAAGCCATAGACAAATAACCTTTTATATATATATATATATATATATGTACATTATGGAATAAGTAGTAACGTGAGATAGGTTTGGAAACGAACAGACATATTTTAGCACCCAATCCAGGCATTTTTATGTTGACCCGGCAACATATTTATTTATAAAAGAAATAAAATTTTCTATGAGTATAATGGTTATTCTCATTACCATTTAAGGTATGGAGAAACAGTCAAATTTTGATATTATATTTAAGTTGATCAGATTTGTTCTTGTGGCCTGTCCAACAAATTTTTACTTGGTCTTGATTTCACCCATTCCTCATTTAAGGTAAATCAAATACTGCTGGAAATGTCATTTCAACGTCATACACCCTATGTATTAATACCATGAAGTCTTGAAGATTAGACTGTGAGGGATTCTTGGTAAGCTATAATTTGTTAGTCATGGCTGTAAAAGCCTGCACTTGTGGAGATACAGGAATTTTAGTATTACCTATTAAGTTTTAACTTTAAGACAATTTTCTTTTTTAATTTATCCAAACACTAACCATAACAAATAAAACTTAAAAGCAAAATTTGAACACAATAATTCATGTAGCACACATTAAAAAAATATAATAAAATCAATAGTTTAACAACTAGGCCACTCCATATGGGAACCTCGTATTTGTGAAAGTGAATTTCCACTTTCCAGCTTCCTGGAAAATGTTGCACACGTAGCTGAAACCAATTTATTATTATGAAGCTGTAACTTTTAAGCATTTAGAATTAATGTTGTACCTTTACTTGTATTTGTAATTGCACTTCACTTAAATTTAAAAGTGAAAGAGTAATCAGAAACTGATCAGATATCTGAAGAAAAAAACCTGAGTGAATTTATAGTTATTGCATCAAAAACTTTTTTATTTCATTTTAAGTAAAACAAAGGCCAAATGAACGCAGTACTTACTTGCACAATTTGTTTCAATTTTCACATGACTAAATTCCACAGTTCATCAAGCCACCTCACCTTTTACATGTTTGCTGTTGTAGCTCCCTCTATATTGTAGCATTTTTGTCTTTAAGATTTTTACTGTGAACAGCTATTACAATGAACAGATGATTATATCGGAATTGATAATAAAATGTAAACAAAATTAACGAATTAAGATACTGAATAATACTTGTGCATATTACCAGTTTGAAAGCTCCTGAAGTTAAGAAACAGACAATAATATAATGAGAAGATTCTACTGATTACTTGAGGTTTACATATTTTAATAAATACCTACACATCTTATAGAAAAGAGCTACGAAAAGTCCACTTTTTTGTCGTATTAATGTAAATTAATTAACCAATATACAGTACTTAAAATCTTGTGTTAAGGGCTTTAAAGATAAAACTATTGAAATTTCTCCAACAGTTTCTTTTCTAGAATAAGAATTCGAAAGAGATGACCAATCGTAAGCATATTTCAAACTTCAACACCAGTAAAGCCCTTATGAAATCCCTAGCCGTTTTAATTAAAAACTCAAGAGAAGTGTTAGTATTGTGTTCAGTTTTTGTCTCCATACCTTAGGAAGGATATTGAATTATTGGAAAGGGCTCGTGGAAAGGCTAATAGAATGATATCTTAGATGGAAAGGTTTTCATACGAAAACAGATTAAGATCTCTAAAATGTTTTCTCTTGAGAAAAGAAAAGTTAAAAGATATCTGATCGAGTTGTATAAGATTGTTAAAGGAATTGATAATTATAATACATCATCTTTTTTTCCCTTACTTAATGTTGAGAATGGTGGGACTAGGGGACACAAATATAAGTTTTGGCAGGGTAAGAGTCATCTTCAGCTAAGACAGTTTTGCTTTTCCAACAGGATAGATGACCTTTTAAAGGAGTTTAAGAGAAAGCTTGATATATATATGTATGAATGACAAGAGCTGGACTGAACTCAGTGTTTTTTTTATGACAAATCTATTAAAACTACCTGACGTCGACCCTAATTTTGAACTGCCAGGCAGGAGGAAGGTAATCTTCCCGCAGAACCCATCGCCAACTCTTCTTTGACCAGTGAATGAAAGAACGATCATATTTAACGCCGACTTTCATTCCCGCGACACAGCTACACAAGGGCAATCTGCTGCGCTGGCCATCTGTTCGTTCGCTCTTGTTGGTCGGTATTTAGGTCTTGTAGACCTGGGATGGTCAGGTAGATTTGACTTCTTCCTCTCCCCGGTAGATGGTGGCTGAGTTTTGAATAATATTATTTTAATTACTACATGAGGGTCAGAGTATTCCCGCACTAATTCTGATCCCTTTCAAGGCAATGTCCATGTACACGGAGTAGTCACAAGTAAATAGACACCTA